TATTTAGCAATATATAGATGTAATGACAGCACCAGGGCTCGCTGCCATTTTCTTTCTGGTCTCCTCGTGTTTCGAGTCGACCGTGGTTATATTCAGAATTTACCAGCATAGAACCCGCATCCGAGATACTTTGTCGTAGCTACGTGCGGGTTATGGGTTTTTTGCGTGAAAGCGTGTCTTTTTCACTGGAGTTCTGAGGCCTGAGATTTTCTTTCAGAGCCATCAAAATCGCTGAGACTGACCGCGTCACAGCAAGGTCGCGCGTCCAGTAAACAAATCGGTTAAAGTGAGTTGCGTGTTTTGCATGAGTGGAAAGTCCTCGCGCTCGGCTAGCGGTACTTCATGTACCGGGACGTCGAGTAAGATGCCCGACGGCATAGGTAGATATTTTTCTTGGTCTCCCCCGCTGATCGGAGGGCATCCTCACAGTCTGTTTTTTCAGGTCGTGTTTTACCCGATTTTACCAGCTGCAGCGAGGCTGTGCCCCTGGAGGCTTTACTCCTATGGGGCCCATTGCGGGTCTCTTTGTGGATCCTTCCTCGCACGAAGCCGGGTTTGCCTTCGAGTTGAGGGCTTTGGTCGAAGGACTGTCGGGGCAATTGCGTCCCTGGCAGGCTGGGTAGATAAGACGCAGTCGGAGCGAGCTGTCTCCACTGTGTCCCCCCGGGGGGCAAGCAGGAAGAGACACGAAAGCATGTTTGCATTCAAACACGTCTCTTCCGGGGAACCCCCGTTCCCAGGCACGGCTCTCCCACTATTTTGGGTTGTGGCCGAGGCTCAGGCTAATTGCACCGGTCCTTTTCTGGATCCTCGGGCACTGAATGCCAACGGGGTGCTGGCAGCCAAGTCTCCGATCTCGGGACAGGGCTTTCAGGGCAGGGCACACGTTGACCCCCCCTACTTTCAGCCACCTAGGGTTCGTCACGCGGTAACGATACAACGGTAACGAATTTTCCTTGTGTCTGGTCCCCGCTGTGGGTTTTGACTCCTTTCTTACCGACCCACGGGCGTCCCCAGAGGGAACCGACCCTGTCATGAGACGCACAGCCGAACACGCTCCCTCTCACATATTTAAAGTGAAAGGAGATGCAGTTCGCTCGCGTCGGATACAGCCCGTACTCCGGGCGGTCCCTCAGAGTCTTCCATCTG